CCTGCTTGGCTGAATGTGGGTGAGATTACTACAAGCTGAAGATTTCGACATAAAGTCAGTGACTAATTCTGTCTGAATGAAGGTGTTACATTATTCTCACACAATGCAGTTAAAATATAAATAGGAAAAAGGCAAGAGGCAGTTAACTCAATTCTTTCAGCTGAAAGCAGCATCCACGACCAAATCTGAGTTGATGAAAATCTAATATTATTAGTTAGAATCTCTAAAGTGGCATTACAGATCAATAGAAAGGAGCACCTTAGAAATGAGTCTGCAGCTCATGAGCTTTAATTATGAGAAAGGAAGGATTCAGCCATCGTCTCCCTCTCATCAGTGACATCGACCTTGGAATGTAAGTGGCCACCAACTAATGGGCTGTGGCATCATTTCTCCAGTCATTAGGGGATTTAAGTTGATTTGCTAAGAAAAGAGTTTCTACAATTGCATCACCAGCCTGTCTTTTGGACCATTTCCATAACTTTTGAACTCTGTGACAAATTTCATCTAATTGAGAAGGGAAAAAAATATTCCAAAAATGTCAAGTTCTGACAAGTTGAATGCAAAACATGTGACTGGGTTTCTGGGGTTTCTGTTTCTCCAGTAGCATTTGCTGTCAGTGAAGAGCCTTCCCCATTCCAGGACTGGGATACTGTGCTGGTTTTGAGTGGGATGGAGTTCATTTTCTTGACAGTGCTACATCGGAATGGTTTTATCTTTTTGTGTCATACCACAAGGTTTCACAGCTCCTAACTGGATTTTTCTTTTAAAATTTATATATTGAGCCATCTTAAAATGCAGAAGGGGAAGTGGTTGTTATCCAGAGAGACCAGCCAGCTGACACACCTACAGGGCATCCATCTGAGAGCATTTCCTGCAGATGAGTCGCCCAGGGAGATAACCCAGGCAGCCAAATGACAGTGCAGGCACTCACTGATCCCTTTAACAAACACAGGTGAGTTTCTGTGGAATTTTACATCTTGTATCTCTTTGTTTTCCATGAGAAGCACAAGAGACGTTTCTGCTTCTTGCCTATACCTGCACCTCTTTTTTCTTTACCCTCAGATTTCATTTTGAGATCTCAGACTACATGATTATGCAGTATTAGGCTTCCAACCTTTTAATGGAAATAACAATGGGGGTGAGTGGCGATAAAGGCAGTTCCAGACAGCAAATCCACTCGCTGAGAGAAAAGTACTTAACGCTCTCAGGAGCAAGAGGCATCTTACAGCTCAGGTGTGTGGCAGACATGCCTCAAGAGGGTGGCTGGAAGCTGGGATGCGGATATCAAGGAAAACAGGGAACACAGAGCCACAGTGCCTGTTCAGCCTGGCAGTGACTGTTTGTGTGAGCCCAGTTTGCCTCCCAGTATCAGCACTTCAGGGAGGCGCCCAGCATCAGGACCTCAGTGCACATCACACCTCTTCTCATAGGGCAGGGGAAAGAGAAATCTGTGGCATTTAAAGAGTGGGAATGGGAAAAATGTCCTCAGCTGTGATGCCAAGGCTGTGGTGACCAGGATCCTTCGTGGCTTGCGCTGGGCAGTGTGGTGTGAGCACAGACACCTCTGTGTGCAAGGCAGGGCTGGGACTGACATACTCCTGTCTCAGCGCAGAGAGAAGCAAAGCTCTGCCAGTTCTGAGCTGTAGAAGGTACATGACCTGCAGATGAGTCAATCTAATTTTATCCTGTAGTGAGCACTGGCGCACCTGTATAATGAATAGCACATTATCACATCTTTGCTTGACTATCTCAATATAATATATTAATATAGTCTTCATAGCCTTCGGTAATCGTGTTATTTAATCTTTAATCTAATGTATTTGGAGCAACTGGCTAGTGAGATGCAGCCCTCTTTATCCTTCTAAGGATAACAATAGCAGGAATAAATGTTAAACTAAAGGAAGGAATGAAAAAAAAAATAGCAGCTTTATTTGTGCTATGTTGAGATGCATTTCTTGGCAGCCCCAGAGATTCAACAGTCTGGTATTTATCACGACAAAACGCAGAAATGTCTGATGATTACATGAAGGGAAATAAAGAGACTGAGCCTAAACTGCAGTCTGAGAGATAAGGGCACATTTTTACAGCAGGCAGCTGCTAAAACAGGGCTATGTGACACCAGCTCCCGCTGCAGCAGAGGAGGGGACACAGGCCAGGGCAGGGACAGGGGCAGAGTTGCAGCCAGGAATAAACAGGGCAGTTTAATACTGAGGGGGAGAATTAGGCAGCCTGCTTAATCACATCATTTACCACCAGGAGGATTATTTTTAAGGAATGTATCCTTCCTTCATCTCCCATCAGATAGCACTGCAAAATACTGGCATGGGCTGTGGAGACTATTTAGGATCTTTCTTGCTGCAATGAGCCCCTGGTGTAGTGTTCAGTGAGGGAAACCTGTCCAGCAGTGCCCAGAGGGATTTAGCATCACCCCAAGTCCCTTGAAGACATGGTCTGGATCCGTGCTTGAGGCACCTGCTCTGCCCTGGCTCTGTTCCAAGGTGGGTGCCTGGCAGGACCCCTCTGTGATGCTTCCAGTCTCTGCTGGGGTTATGATACCAAGATGATGGGAACCAGGAGCTGAAAAGTCACTCTTCTTACTGAATCCAAGAGCTCCATGCAGCTCCTGGTGTGAGTGAGACAGTCACTGCACAGCTCTGGCCAAGGCTGTTTGACATTAGGGCTGGGATTTGAGAACAGAAAGGTGCAGATCTCTCAATTATTGCCAAGTGTGTGAAGTCTGCAATCCTACAGGGAACATGCTGAGATGGAGACTTGTGTTGCTTAAGGAGAACAGTGGCTGGGTGGCCAAGCTGGGAGCAATCACCAGTTTAATTTTAGGGCTACAGTTATGAATTAGGTCATGATTCCAACACAGAAATGTGCCATTGCCTGAACTGCCCTGGACATCACAGAGGCCACATTCTTGGTTAAAGGATGGTGCTGAAATTCATTATTCTGTACAGAGGGACAGAAGCTCCTGGGTTTTAGCAGTTGAATCCCAGTGGTGGAAGTCCTTTATTTCCCTGGCATGAGCACAGAGCAAAGTAACACATGATCCCTGTGGTTTGGCTTCGTTTCATCTTTTTGCAGCATGTCATATTTGATGCAGGACTCGAGGGAAAGATGAATTGCACTCTAAGAGCAATTCAATGAAAACATATGGACATGCTGTATATGATACAGATCTTGTAGTCTTTGTAGGGTTAATATAGGGTTGTACCGTGAATCTCTGTGTGGAAAACTCTTCTGATGGATATTTTCCTCATCCTTTCTGCCCCAAATAAAACCACCAGTTTTTTAGGATCAATTACCTCCTCCTGTGGAGATGAGAACATTGCTGAGTTCCCCCAGCAGCCTCCAAGGATGGAGAGCAGATCCTGTCCCTCAACAGTGCTAAAGGCATCAGAAGCAGTTAAAGAAAAATAAGAGTTGATTTGAAGAATGTAATGTTCATTCATCTAGCTGCAGAAAAAATAGGGGTTTATCACTGAAATATTAGAAAGACTAGCATTTATACTCTGATAAGTCTTGTGGTGCTGCAAACTGTGGGGAATTGTGAAGGAATTCCGAATCGGTTAGAGACGGGACTTCTGAGTTTTTTTAGATAATGTTATTTGTTTTTCTTATCTTCTACATAGGTAGGAAGGGTGAGGTTGGCTCACATTTTTACTGCATGGTTCAAAAGGTCACAAGACCTCTAATTACAAGACCTTTTAAGGATTTGTTAACTAATTAACACTGCTAACAAGGACATTTATGTTTTTAACCTAATCCTTAAATATTTTGTCTTATGGACTCATGCTACAGTGTAAACTCTTAGCCAACCTACGTACTGTACTCTAAGACTCTAAACTTTTTTTCTACTTAGCTTAACATGACTCTGCTTTAAACTATAAATCCACATTCTCACTTCTAGTACCTAAGTTTGGAAGCTTTTTCCAAGGTCTCAGATCAAATACTATGTTTAATTTTAAGCTTTAGCTTACGAGCCCGAAGTTCTGAGATTTCTCTACATTTCAGATTCTAACAGCAAATTATTTAATTTTAGGTCAAGAAAGCAATAATGTAGCAAATCAATGCAAGAATCTACGGCTGCTCCAAGTGGGCAGGGAGAGACTTTCTGACTCCGGTCTTGGCCCAAAGGAAGAAGCCAGGTATCTCCCTGGCCCCCATGCCTGCTTTTCCACAGCAATTTTGCCTCCCAGCATATCATGCTCAGCTCCCTCTGTAACCATTCCTCCAGCTCCTGTTGGATGTTCACCCTTCATGGTTCTCATGTGTCCTGTCCTGTTGAGGCAGATGAGCTCATTGCAGGGTAAACTTAAATGAGGATGGTGATCTCGAGGTGCAGAAGATAGAAAATCAAAGGTGTGTAACAAAACAAGGTGTTTTTGAGGGAGAAGCTGAAAATTGCCATAGCCTGTAATTGTCTCTGCTCATGCTTTGGTGGCTGCCCTTGGACAGACAATTTTGTCACTCTGCTCAGCTTCTTGTTGCTCTAACAAGGGACAAGGAGCTCCACTGATCTTTGAAAAGCCTTCAGTAAGTGCCATGTTTTTCTTTCATGTTCTGGATGTCCCTGCTACAGCACACATACATCAAACCTTGTTCATAAAGGAGTAATTAAATGGCACTGCTAAAGGGATGTCTTAGGATGGGCCTGATTACAGCTCACCCAGAAATGTCTTCCCAAGTCCCAGCCTCTTTGACGTGATTCTCCCCCCTTTCTCTGAATTTCTTCCACCATTAATTTCAGCCAGTCCTGGGATTATTTGAAAAAGGGCCTTGGGGGACTTGTTCAAAGGCACTGCCACCACGGACGACGTTGCTTTCTGAACTGAAGCATTTCACTCCTATCTGTCTGGACATATGAGCTGCTCAGCACTGCTTCATTAGGCAAGTTATTTTTAAATTCCCAGAAAGAGCAAAACATTGAGAGAGGAATTAGCATTTGCTGTTGAAACAGCTGCCAAAGAGAAGAGGCAGAAGGCACTCCGGGTCCCCCCTGCTATCCCTGGGATTAACCAGGCACCAGTACCCAGTCACTGACACACTCTCAGACTGCACATGAGACATCAGAAATCATGCCCCAAGATAAGGATGGGTAAGTGACCATCAGAATTTTCTGTATGTAAGTAATTTTCTGTATGTAAGTTCTGGATGTAAGTAAGAAAGTGACCATCAACACTGAATAAGAAAAAAATCTTGGAAATCTTTCTCTTCCTCCAGCCCCATTCTGTGTTTTTCTTTCCCGAATTTTTCACTTAAAGGACTTTAACTCTATTCTGGTTTCTCCAGACAAATGAATGAAGCAATAAAGCCTGCCCAGAGTCTTTGCTTCCCCTAAACAAGACCCAGTGGGCACCCAACACTTTCCAAATGCCAAGGGACTGCAATAAAGCTGATGCTGTTTGATTGCATTCTCTCTCTGTAATGAGTTTAAGTTTCCCAGTGGCTGATGGTGCTCTTACAGGCCAGAGTTAAAGCAAAAGGCTTCACAATGAATTGTCTGAGGCACATTTTGGTCGCTGTTCACAAATGCTGATTGCCCCGTGGTTGGTGCTGCTGAGGGCAGCCAGGATTCCCACTGATAATATTAATAATGCAAAAAAAAGTGTTGAATATGGGAAGGGGAGATAGATTAGGTAAAAATAGCCTTTTCACCTCTCTGGGAGCACACAGGCAGCACAGCCAAGGCAGTGTGCAGGTTGTGCTGCCTGGTTCACCCCTCCCTTCACCCCTGCCTGCAGCCACAGGGTTTCTGTATTTATCCAGAACAAATCTAGCAGGAGCTGTTCTCATAACCTGCTCCCAATTCCTGCCTAATGAAGGCCGCTGGATTCCTCTGAATTACTGCTTCTTCAAACCAGAATGTTTCCTTTGGAAAAAAAATGATCTCATTAAGTATTTCCAGTGATTCTTCAGTGACAGGCACTCTGCCACGGTAGGCAAACTGTATGTGGATTGTTCCAGTGGACAGCTTTCCCCAGTCCTAAAAATGCACAGCAACCTGTACTGATGTCCAGCTGCCAAAAACCACTCTGCCAGATAAATCATGAAGAATGATTTGGGTTGGAATGGACCTTAAAGATCATCCCCATTCCACCCCCTGCCAAGGCAGGGACACCTTGAACCACCCCAGGCTGCTTCAAGCCCCATCCAACCTGGCCCTGAACAATTCCAGTGATGGAGCAGCACAGCCTCTCAGGCAGTGCCAGGGCCTCACCACCCTTTAGGGTTAAATCTGTCATGTGCCTTCTCAGAGACTGCATTTAAAATGTCCCTTCACCTTTTATCTCTTAGTAAACTGTGTTCCTTGGGTGTTGTCTTACCCAGGTGCGTTTTCCAGCCCTCAAGAAGACTTCCTGGAGCCCACACAGAGGTAATAAAACCCCTCTTGTCTTCCTTGGTGCCTTGCTTTGTGGTTCCTTGGAAGCATTAGCTCCTCTTGGCAGAGCATCTCATTAGGAGCTCATCTTCAGCTGATAATTCCTCTTCTGAGTCACTGCTTTCCATGACTTTGTCACCCACCCCTTAGTCCAGCTGCTGCTCTATTCTTAGGCTAACAACTTTACATCTGGTGGCACGAAAAACATGTTGTTTATTTAAACTGAGCTCATTAAGTGATCCAGATTAGGTTTGGTATTGGCGACCTGCCCCAACTTCTGTGCAGCTGCAGATCACCAGTAATGATTTGGCATTTTCTCACAGGTCAGCGATCACACGTTAAGTGGTGCAGGGTCAAGATCGGGCAGGAAGGGAGCTCTGCCTGTTCAGTGCTCTACTTAGAATTACACTTAGAGACCTATCAGTTAGTTTTCAATCCAATTAATATTTGTCATATTGACACATTGTTCCTCTTTCTCAATCAAAGTACAGTGAAAGACAAGATCTGGTCTCTGGCTGAAGGTTTCTTCTAACAGCTCTACTACTGTAAACTATGACATTAAGGAAAATACCTGGTTAACAGGACAAAGCCTCCTTTTCATAATGCTACAGTATCTCCTTGAAATTATTTATCAGCTTATTATTTGTTATTTTTTTCTTAGGTATCCTTGATAAGAGAATGTCCAGGAATATCTCCCATTAACCTTTAAGGAGACAAATGGCTGGCACAGATCTCCTGTGGCCCCTTCCCTGGCAGCTGTTCCCTGTGAGGGGCCAAGTGCCTTCCCCTGTTTCCCTCTTGTGCCCAGAGCCAGGGCCCCACCCCAGCCACGCTCGGTGGGGGCAGAGTCCCTGTCAGTGCCCAGTGCTGGGCAAACCTTTGGATCTGTGCTGGCAAAGCCAGCTCTGGCCCCACACTCTGCCCCACCCTCTGTCACCGGGATGTCCCCAAACCCCACCCGCCCCTTCTGACCTTTCCAGCTCTGTCCTGGGAGAGCTCAGCACAGCTGGGAGCACCAAACCCAGGGCTCGGGAACACCGAGGAGACTCGGTTTGCTGGAAACAGGGGAAAAAGGGGAAGGGCTTCAGGTGTTTTAATGCTCAGAACTGTCCACCAGCACGGGGGGCTGTCCCTCTGGGACTGTCCATTTGGGGACTGACCTTTTGGAGACTGTCCCTTTGGGACTGTTTCTTTGGGACTGTCTCTTTGGGGACTGTTTCTTTGGGACTGTCCCTTTTGGACTCTAATTTTGGGGACTGTTCCTTTGGGACTGTTCTTTTGGGACCGTCCCTTTCGGACTCTAATTTTGGGGACTGTTTCTTTGGGACTGTCCTGTCCCTGCAGCCCCTTGCCCCGAGCCCTTTCCCAGTGTCACCATCTGCTGCTGTGTCTGTGCTGGCCCTGCAGGGGAGGCGATGGAGCAGGGCCTGCGGGACTGCTGCCGCTCCATCCGCATCGGGAAAATCCTGATCCAGAGCGACGAGGAGACCCAGCGAGCCAAGGTGTACTACGCCAAGTTCCCCCCAGACATCTACAGGAGGAAAGTGCTGCTCATGTACCCGATCCTCAGTGAGTGTCCAGCACGGACAGCCGGGCTCCTCTGAGCGCTGAGCGCGGCACTGATTGAAAAATTCCACATTCTGGGGCTCTGATTGGGATTTCTGCTTGGTTTAGGTGACAGGAGGGAAGTGATCAGGCTGTGCCAGGACACACATTACTCAGCTGCACCAGTGTGAATGCAGAGCAAATCGTTTGGGCATGGCTGCATTTGGGAGAAAGGCTGAGATTAGGACATAATATAAATTTAATTTTTTAAGTTTTGCCATGAGAAAAGACTCAAACAGTGTTTTTCTCACACTACTAAAAGCTGGTTTTTGACCAATGTTATGATCCTAGAAGCAAATTACTTTAAAATTAAATAAAACTAATGCTGACCAAAAATAAATTAATCTGGTAAGCATGGTAAGGAGTTAATCAAGATGGGGTAACTTTTCCAGTCTAGATTTTATTCTGTCCTACCTATGGAGCTTTTAATTTCCATTTGACTATTTTAGATGAGCTTTCCTGCCTCAGGGTTTTAATAAAATCAACGAACTTCTGTGCTTAAAACCTGGCAGAGTTGGCTTTTTCAGAATAGAAATAAAGTTCTTTCACCAGGAGACAAGTTTTCTTAAATTAATATCTGCAAAGGTAAGTTTTCCAGAGAGAAAGGACAAAATGGTCCTCGGATATTCTTGGATGGCCTGGGACAATTTTGTCAACCAGAAGGAAAAATAAAACCTCGCTTTTTCCCACTTGACTTTGGTTAGTTCTGGCCTGAACCGTGCTCAGGTGCAGTGACAAAGCACTCTGGTGACATGAGCAAGCACCTCCATGTTGGGGTTGTATAAATTGCCATACTCTGCTTTACTACTTCATCTTCTGTAGCCTGAATTTTTTAGGTACAACTGGATTTACAGCACCTAACTAGGTGTCAGTAAACAGCAGAGAAATCCTTTGGGATTAAGTGAATTCAGAAGCAGAAGTTCACACATCCTGCATTTGTCACAGACTTTGTGTGTAACTTTCTGCCAGAAGCTACAGAAAGACAAAGTCAATCTAAAAAGTAAACAGCAGCCCAGATTTAAGCCCAGGTAGCTGGAGAAAATCAGAATTGCTGCATTTACACCGCCCAGCTGGCTTCAGCTCCCTGCTCAGCTCCTGGCTCTGCCTCTACTTGCAGTACACAAACATCTGAGTTTGGTAGGTCTGGTATTTTTAATTTTTTTTGCTCAGGTTTAGAAGCTCCCAAGAGATTCAGATTTCCTCACCTCACTGCATTTGGATTATTACTTAGCTATATGGAGAATAAGTTATTTTAATATCTTTTTAGAAAAAAAAATAAGCCAACAATTTTTTCATCTATCACTGCATACCTAATAAGCAGTTTTTAAAACCCTGGGGAATTTAAAGCAAATTTATTTACACTCATTGAAGGAAACGACATTAAACTTACCATGGAGAAGTGTTACAATTCTCTTTTGCTATACACACAGTAGCAAACTGAAAACACTTAAGTAGGAATTACACCATGATTTTCCTGTAGATTTTGGATTTTTCCCTATACTGCAAAGTTCTCTATGCAAATATATTTTCCCCTGCAAGCTTTTTGAAATATGCTGCTACACTGCTCCTAGTTTTGTCAAAGCTGTTAAGGAGATGTGTGTGCACAGGTCATTAATTGTTATTAATGTCAAGTGGATACTGAAATCCATTAAGTGGTTTTGAAAAATCAGAGCTTATTCTGTACCTGATCGACTCTGTGAGGGCATTTGCAAATAAATCCACCAAATCACACCGAGGGAGAGACTTTTCCTCAGCTGTGTGCCCTGGACCTCAGCTCCAAGTTTTTACTGCTAAGGAAGGTGTGAATCAGCAGGATCCAGCTGCTGTCTCTGCTCCTCACGGGTGCTCATCTCCCTGCAAACTGGCAAATGTCTGCCTCAGGAGTTGGAGCTCACCCACAGACCTGAAGAAGAATGTTTTATTCCTCTGTTGCTTTGCCATTTGATGATTTTCAAGACCTTTGGTAAGGTTAATCAAGTAAATGTATTCTGTTGAGGGAGAAAGAGACAAACAAAATGATGTGTCAGACGTCAGAAGGCTGTTCCAGGAGCATAAACCATCATCTTATCCCTCCGTCCAAACAGAACACGCTCCACCTCCTTTTGCTCAATATTCCCTAATATTTTGCTGCTCAGGTTACTGATGTCTAAACAAAGCCACTTTTATCCTGCTCTGACCTCCCCTGGTATTCAGAAAAGGTGGGGAGAAAAGGCAGGATTCACTTTCATGCATGAGCAGCCCGTGGCAGTGCCCTCAGCTCCGCTTCCCTTCGAGGTGAGGCTCAGGGCTGTCCTGCTGCTGTGCTGATTGCCAGCACTCACACTCATGGCTGCCTTACCAATGGTGGGCTCAAGGCTTCCCATGAGAAACTGGATCAATTGTGTGCCCATCACCTGCTCCCTGAATTATCCACCTTTGGCAATGGAATGGATTTTTTGCCAGTTTCAAAGGTGCCTGTTGAATATAAAGGAGTGCCCACACGCTCAGCCACAGGGTCTCTGTTTGGGGGTACAGTTTCTCCAGTCACTGGAATTTGTAGGGGTTGGAGCACTGCCTACATAAAACATCCATTTGTCATGGGTCAGGAGCAAGACAACTCTTCCCAGTGACAAATATTTTGGTGCATTAAAACCACAAAATTGCTTTGACATTAAATTTACTTTTTTTTTTCATTTATTTTTAAATTTTACTCACATTTAACAGTAAAAGCAGAGCTGTTAGGTCATGGTTTGACCCTGCAGTAAATCTAACTGTAATTTCAGCAATGATGCAGAGGACTGATCTGATGTAAACTCACTCTCCCAACCCCAATTTACTTTAAAAATCATAAAAAGTGAACATTCTGCAAGCAAGTTTTATGCTTTATTAGGTATCACCTCTCCATCACTCCAGCTACGTGGTGTAGCAATACTCAATTGCTTCATGTACTGGTTATTTCAACAAAAATATTGGGAACCTACACCTGCTCCAGATGAAAGTGGGACTCCTTCCTGCTCTCCATTACTAAGGATTCTGGCGTCTTCCTTTCCTGGTCACAGGCTGTGGCAAGTAAAACTGACGAGAAATATGCCCTGTACCTGTCCCTTCCCTCTTCTTGCCCAGACGCTGTGGCTGCCTTTGAGTTCTCAAGTCTGCTGGGGGAAATTTAAAGTGTGAAGATATAAAAACACTTAATTTACATTAGAAGTTGGGCTTGTATTGTTGAGTAGAAACTCAACAGTTTCCACAACCTTAAAATGCAACACCCCCCTCAACCTGACAGTGCTGTTTTTATAAAGAACCACCAAAAGGAGAAACAAAGGCTCTCGTGGGCTTCCTGAAATGGTGTAAATCCTCAGCAATATGTTTTTCCTCTAGGTATTGGATATTATGAAGATGACTTCCTTGCAAGACCGTCGCAAGACATGACTTTTCGGGCATTAAAACAGGATCTTTCAAACCTCAGCTGCTCTTGATAATGTCAGCAGTGAGGGGGAAACTGCAGAAATGCTTAACCCTCCATAACATGGGAAGTCTGGTATTCAATTAATTAAGGCTCACATCGGAAAACAGGAACATCTTAGTTTTCATAGGGCTGTATGTAGTACACAACACCAGGTGAGAGGGGAAACCTGCCATAGAAACGTCCATGGTTCGAGGTGGAGGAATGCCCATGTATAGAGGGGAAGGAATATATAGAAGGGAGAGCAGGGTGAATATCCGCACCGACAGGCACCAGTGCTGCCAGTATTTGTTTTTTTGGCACCATCGACGTTGCACGGAGTCCCCTCTACCCAGCGCGCACACACCTGAGGCGACATGAAACGGCCCCACACTCAGGGGACCGCGGGGGCATAGACCCTCCTGCTGCACCGCACCACGGGCGGGCACCGCTGACCCCCGGTCCCCTCCACGTTCCCTGGGAGCACCGAGCCGAGGAGCGGCCCGAGCAGCCAGAGCATCACCGCCCCACCCTGCCCCACCCTCAGCCTTTGCCCGCACCAAAATGGCGGCGGCCCCTGAGGGCCGGGGCCGCGCGCGCTGGGCGGGGCTGCCCTCCCGGGCCGCGCCTGCGCGGGGCCGCGCGCGCCTCCACTTCCGGCTACCGGCGGCCGCTTCCGGCCCCCCGTTCCTTGGTAACAATGGAGCAGAAAATGGCCGCCTGAGCGGGCAGGAGGCGGCGCGGCGGCGGAGCGACACGGGCGGAGCGCGGATAGCCGGCACCCAGCCCCGAGCGGCGCGGGCAGCGGCGCACCCACAGCCCGGGGGGCGGCGGCGGGCGGCGGCGGCGGGCGGTGAGCACCGGGGCGGGGGCGGGCTCTCAAAATGGCCCGGGGAAGGGAGAGGCCCAGGCCCGGGGGAGGCGGCGGCGGCCTCCGCCCGGAGCGGGAGGTGGGAGCGGGGGCCCTCAGTCCCCGCTCGGGGCCGGCGGGGCGGCTCGGCGGGGCGCGGGAGGCTCCATCCGCGGTGCCGTGAGGGAGCGGGGGGCGGTGATGGCGGTCCGAGCGCGGGTGTGCCCGGATGGGCCGCGCTCCGTCACCCCGGGCGTTCTCCTGCCGGGGCCGCCCGCCCCGACCCTCATCCTGCGCTGGGCGCTGGAGCTGCGTTTGCGCTGCCGCGGGGAGGGCAGGCGGGCCCGGCACCGTCCGGCTGGGCGGAGGAGGAATTGGAAGAAGCTCCTTGTGGGAGCGGTGGGGGAGGGGGTGGTTGGGGCTGCTGTCCTGGGCCTCGTCCACAGTTCAGTGTCTGCTGGAGGAACCGCCGCTCTTCACGGCCGTGCTTCAGGCCGTGCTTCCCGTGAGTTGAGGCGAGAAGCCTTGTTGTGGAAGACAGGCGAGAAGAACTCTTCCTCTCCCGCTGTGCAGAGCTCTGGATCAGCCTGTGACCTGTTCAGACCTGTGGTGTTTGCTATTCCTGTGCTGAGTTTCTCCCCAGCTAAGCACGTCATCTTTGCTCTGTCACCTTAGCTTCCTGTGCAAGTTTTTCCCTGCCCCTTTTAATGGCATTTAAGGTTTCTGTTTCTCTTGTTTCAAAACCCTTGTCAAGTCCAGCTGCATGTATGTGTTTATCTTGAGTGGTCTGCTTTAACTGAGGAGCAATATCAGGTTGTGTATAGTAGTGTGTATGTTTATAATGTAGGGGCGATTAAGGTTTGTTAATAAAATGTATTATGTGTCTTGATTTTAGTGGGCAGTAGAAGTCTGACAAAAGGTTTCACAGCAAAAAAAAAAAAAAAACCCTGAATTTTTAAAATAATAGTAGTATTTTGCTGTTTCTCAGGAAGGTGGAGCCTTGGTACAGAGCAGCTCCTAAACAAGAATACAAACTTGATAATACCCAATAGTACCATCACACATCACTTTTATTTTCCTGTCCATGTTGGCAGTATTGGGTAATTTCAACTTGGAAATACTTGTCAAATGTTCAAAAGAACTTCTGACGCTAATTTGTCACTGAGTTTTAATTGCAGTGACTTGTCAAGTCTTTCTAAAACAAATAAACAGTTGGCTGCTTCTTGGACAGTTAATTATCTTAATTGAGGGTCAGATATTTAGTTTTGTTGTGGTGGTCACCTAGCACTCTGTTCCCTCTACAGGTTTACCATTTTGGAATTAAAATAATGATAGCTTGGAATTATGTCCTGGGAAGGGAAAACACACCACACATTATAAAATTAAGGGTTTCTTGTTATGTTAGACCACTAAGGCACAACAACTGCAGTGTACCCTTCATCAACTGGGTAAATGTTTGTCACTGAAATAACCACACACCAGTATTTTTTGAGCTGTAGTGGTTGCCATCTGTATCATATTTATTTTCCATATTACTGAATTCCTGGACAAGAGTGCTGCAAGTGTCTGCTCTCCAGTATGTGTAGTTGGTTTTTTTTAGAGGAATGGCTGATCCTTAGATGGAAATGTTTTCAAAACACCTCTACATCAATACACCTGCCATGCTTTTTCCTTTATTCCTCTTCCCCGTGGGAATGTATCAAAATAAATCCCTTGATCTTAGCAGAGTCATTCCAGTTGCAGTGGAGGTGTTGTACATTTTTTTAACAATCATAGCATAATGTTCTGACTCCATATACTTGAGTCTAAAGATTGTATTTAAGTCCAGCCTAATGTAGCTTAACACATTACTGGAGTGTCCTAAATTCTTTTTTTTGTAGAGAACTTCAGTTTCCATGTGTTAAAACACTTGAATCCAGACACGATCATTGGGTGTTTATCCGAGGTTTTGTGGTTTAATCTCAGTCTTGGTGAAAACTTATCAGCTGCTGAGCTTGCAAAAATTATTCGTGAAGGGATGAAACCAAATGTGAACATTTCCGTCTTCAGGATGCTTTTATGAGAGTCTTGTGCTTCTCAAAACCAAAACTTCTAAAGAGTGTAGCAGTGTCATAACTTAGTCAGGAACTTTGTGTGCTGAGTAGGGATAGCCAGGAGCATCCCAGGGACTGGTTTTGCCTTTGCACAGGTTCTGGCTGCAGGTAAGATCGTAAACACAAGGCTGTGTCTCCTTCAGACTGCTCAGGTTTGTATTAACAATGTGCTTGGTAGGAGCTTTTGGCTGCTCTGCAGTGTTGAGGCTCAGCTTTTGACTCAGGGAGGTCTGCTGGGTTGGATGGTCTCGTAAAACCACTTGATGATTATGGAACACAGGAAAAGCCAGCACATATTTTATCTTAGTTCAGTATTTAAAATCATCTTATGCTCACAGCACTCTGGGTTTTGATGTGCAAGGTGTATGTGCACAGAGTCCTGTTAAAATGCTGCAGCTTCCCTGCCTTGGGATGACATCAGAAATTGAATTCTCATGGTACAGATGTCTATTTGAATTCAGATAAATTTGCCTTCTTTTTATTTCCCACTTCTGTGTTCTGGGCAGCGGATATCAACAAGAACAGGAACGCACGGATCGGAATTCCTCTGTGGCTTGTGGTTGCAGTGATTGTTGTTCTTCTACTGTTAGCAGTGCTTGCATATAGCAGCAGTTGTGTGGAGACAGGAAGATTCAGCAGTTCAAAATTTAAAGATGGCTTTTTCTTTTTTAGTTGAAAGTCACTGAGTGTTGATTGGCTTGGTGTTTTCACTAACCACAGCTTGTGTTTCTTCAGGAATCAAAACTATGTGTCGTTGGATGTCAGTCCTGTTCCTGTGCTGTCTCTCAGGGTCAACACTGGTTACTTGGGTGCAGCTTTACTTCTTTTGAGTGCAGAGTGGGCCCTCTGCTACTGACCCAGCAGGAAGCTCATTTCTGGGCAAAAAGAGCATCATTTCATGAGCCTGCAGTGCTGAAAACTTGCTGCACCTCATATACACCAGGCTTTCGCTTCTGTGTAATCTGAATTTGATGGCAGAGGCAGTGCTATCTTAATTTTATTTTCCACTTGTATGTGAAAAGTGTTGTTGTAGTAAGTGTAGATGATAAAAGGCAAAGCCCAGCATTTTGGCAGTTGTTACTGCATTTTATTTTCAGAGCTCCATCTTGGTTCCGCATGCTCTCAGTGTTCTGGAATTGCTAAGCTCTGCCCTGATTTCCTCACTTCTTTCTGACTTATCAGGAGTTAGTGTTTCTCTTCTTTATCTCAGCAGTTGGTTCAGCTGAAGTGTTTTTGCTCTCTGGTCTGTTGGGTTTTTTTATTCTGTGGAACTTTCTGCCACTGTTCTGCAAAAGTATTCATTTGCTTTCTGTTGTTTGAAATGAATGTTCAGAATGACATCTTGTTTGAGGGCCTTTGCTTTGAAACACACTGGGGTAGTGAAAAAGCTGAATCGATGTTTAACATTCCTTGTTAAAATGGCATTTAAATTTTACAGGACTTTCACAGAACACTTCCATAGAATACAAAACGTTCTTCCAGATTTGCAAGAGTGGTGCATGTTTCAGGATAACTTTTGAGTTAAAGAGGACAGGGAGTTCTTGATTTTAAAACTTATGGTAGATTTATTAAAAAGCTAATAAGAACCTAAATGTGCTGTTCATGACAGTGGAAATAAAAAGCCACAATAGCAGGGAAACAAATTCCAAATGTCATTATGCCACTTTGAAAACTAGAAAAGTTTGTTCCTTTTTACTGTTTCTAAGATGGAGATGAGTGCATTGGACCTGTGGTATCAAAGCCTTTGGTGTGATCACAAAAGGAAGCTTGTGCACCTGCACAAAAAGAGAAAGCCAACAAACTTGACATAATGAAGCTCCATGTATAATGCAAATAGATGACTTTCATTTCAGTGTCTTAGGGTGTCTTTTTCCTTTAATGATGGGATTCACTGACAGGTTTTCTTCTGCTTTTGAGCTTGCAAACTTGAGTGATGAAATATTTAAGATGAAAATGTAGTTTCTGTTATGCTTTACTTCCAGCTAGTTTTGAGTATGGAGAAATTGGATACTGACTGGCATGGAAACTGTTTTTCAACTTTGAATTCTTCTAGGAAAATGAGGTGGAGTGGGTTGGATGAGTGCTGTGTGTGAAGTGGGTTCAGTTTGTGCTTGAAGGAGCTGGGGTAAGAGGACTGCCTGTTCTAGCTGCTGTTCCTGTGTCATTTGAGACATGGAATTGGAGCGAGGCTGGCTGCGGCCGTGCTGCCATGGCACGTCAGAGCTGCTGAAGTCACAGTTCGTGGAAAGCGCTTGGACACGCAGCTGTGCTTTGCTTCTCTCGAGCTGGAGTGTCTTTGAGGCATGTTCACTGCAGCCTGGGCAGGGAACATAGCCTCTAACGACCCAAAGCAAATAAATCAGTGCTTCTGGCTTCCATCCTGAGTCACTCCTTTAGTCCAAGGGTTTGATCAGTTCTGTAGACTGCAAGTAGGCAAGGTGCTCTACCGGTTGGAGTAGCTAATTAAGATGAGGGTATGAATCATAAATGAGAAGTTGGCCTTCTGCTGAGGACATCTCTGGAACACCCACACTGCCATCCTCTTTTTTTTTGTTTATCCAGAGGTATTAACTGTGTTGCTGGGACGTGAGGTAACTCAGGAAACATTCCTGCCACGCAGGGCACAAGAGATTCTCAGGTGAAGTTGAAATACCGGTAACACCGACATGGAGGGAGTTCTAGAGGAACTTCTTCTTGCACACCTGACTCATGAGCAGCTGAGTTGTTTCTTCAGTTTAATTAAATTCCATGCCTTGTCCTGTAAAAATTTGAGGCTTGCCCCATAAATATATGAAAATTTGAATTTTAAGGTGTTGCTTTTTCATTTGACCCTGCCAATTAGTGATTTCAGGGTTTGTTGGATTTTCTAAGTTCTGCCTAGCTGGTTTAATGAGAGCTCTAATGTTTCATGGGATTTCTTTCAAATGTAAAAAAACCAGGAATGCAGGCAAAGGTAGTGTCTTGGTGTTGAATTCAGGCAACTAATGTCAGGAGATACTACACATTATTGAAGGAGGAAGAGCTAGAGATTTATTACTGTGCATTATGGTCCATTAATGCTTTTTCTGGGAAGAATCCTGTGGTCCACAAGTGCTGTGGAATATGGAGATAGGCTGTGTTACTGTTGAAGGTAAATGGATGACACACATATTATCCCTGCTTGCTGTCCCTCTAGATTTGAGGCAGTAGCACATTCCTGACTGGATTTAGTCTACAAACAACCTGGCATGAAAGAAAACAAAATAATTCTTACACTGTAAGAATGATAACTTTGTATTATTGAGGGAATATCCAGTACTCTTAAATTGTCCCTATCAAAAAACCCATAGTATTACTTCCTCTTGAATTAAAGGAATGTAACAAACAATAGCTTTTGTGGGCTTATTGCAGTCTGGAGCAGCAGTGGGGAGACAGGCAGTCATTTGTGCTTGGAAATCTCTGAGGTTGTTGAAGCGTAACTGCAGGGAAGATACTTTTCTGATTTGTGGCAGGATGGGAACACCAATTAAGAATTCACTGTAGTTACTCTTGTCTGGATATTCATCTGTTGAAGAATTTATTTTTTTTTTTTTCAAGGAGAAAGTTGTTTATCCTATCTCTGATCCTCTTGCTTTGTGCAGTCCTTAGGTGGTCACCCTCTCACTTACCCGTGAAGAGATTTTCATACCTGGGTATCTCAGCTGAAGTTGGCAGTAACCAGCAGGTCTGAACTTCCTGCTCGTAGCTGTGACCTTCCCCACCCTGTGTCAACTCAGTGCTGACAGGGAAGGACACTAAAGGAGGAAATTCTGAATCTTTTAGCTTGGATAAGAACAAAGTCTTACACTGGAAGAAAGAAAAGCACAGTTGAACTGTACTTGCTTATTAGATAGCCAAATGTTGGTTATTTTGTTGTAAGCTAATAGTACACCTGTTGGTTTTCCCTCATCAGGCTTCCCTGTATTACTGGCTTCCTTCAGCCAGTCTTAACTGTCTGCAGGGTGTGAGCTGAGAGCAGCATCCGGAGGGGCAGATTTTCAAGTTCTTTCTGCCTCTCTGTGCAGGGCCATAGTAACTCCCACCGTGGAAGTCCTGCTGTCCAGGCAGATGGGCTCTGTGGAGTCTGCTGAGGTAGGAGCAGTTTAAACATTCCAGTAGGTTCAGTCTGGCCATGGGGAGCTCTGCAGCGGGCTGGGAGGTGAGGCTTACGTTGGACAACGTGCACAATGAGCTGAGTGCACAGGGAGGAGATGGAAACTAGAAGAAGCCTTAGGGTAGAAATCCTGGTTTTCGTTTGCTGGTTTTAATATCAGAGCTCTGGTTTGAAGAGTATCATCCTATTTGCTGTCAGCAGTCATGTAGGGAGAATGTGTTGTTGCTGCTGTGTTTCTGTGCCATCTGTATTTCCATCAGTGTAAACATCCCAGAGAGATGCACAGCATTTCTGGATCCTGAAATCGGGATATGGGGGACTGGTGTAACCTGTTAGTAGCTTGCAATAGGAAAATACAGCAATTTGTCACTAGCAGAAGAGTCTTTATGTAGATTAAATTCTTGATTCATCCCACCTCTGAGGCTTTTTTCTCAGCAGTAAACTATTCAGCCTTGACCATTAACTGGTTTTATGGTTTAAGAGGGAAGATAAGAGATGGTGAAGGAGAAAAGAGGAGCAAATCTAAAAATAAGTAGTACTGACTTATTCCAAGCATTTCCTAAAGAATCGCCCATTGAACTGTTGGTGGAGAAGAGATTTTTAAATTCCTCCCCCCTCCATATGACTTGTTTTGACTCTCCCTTTTTCCCTGACCAAGAATGGTGCACCTTCGTTTTCTGAAAGGGAATAGGCAAGTATCTTTGAATCACGTAGGCATTAGATAGCCAAGGTGCCTGCAAGCATTTTCAGTTAAAAGGAAAGTAGTAAATAAGTAGTAAACAAATGTTATGTTTTGTATGTGTAGTGCATCTTTCTGTTTTAAGAGCTGTTGAAGAATTGGTCTTATGCTTATGAAGGTGTTAATATTGCCATCTTTCTGAAGACATTCCACGTGTTTCCAGGTTTGATGTGTATTCCCAAAGAACTGATGCATTTCAAGGTTTTATTTTGGATGGAAGTCTCTTGTTCTACTTGAGACTTTTATTCAGATATTACCAGAACCAGTAAGAGCTGCTTTTAAAAGTATCTTCTCCAGCATGTCTTTAAATAATGTCACTTGGAGTAATAATTCTGCTGCAGAAAGCTTGTAAAAAAAGTTGACTGGAGCTGTGTTCTCACTAGAAATACGTGCCTAGCATGTGAAGGGCACAGGGATTTCCTAAATGAGCCGGGTCAGAGCTGAACACACCTGCAGAAACTATTGCACAACTGTCCTGTGAATGGGGTCGTTTATCGGTGTTTAACAGCACGTCGCAGCACACAACACTCACATGTCACATGCCAGTCTGCAGTCTTTAGATTGCTCCAGGGATTTAGAAACGCAGAGAAAGCTGATAGGCTCCCATTTGACTCTGGAGTGACTGGTAATTGCTGCTGCTTCCCGATTCCTGAAAAAAGGGTGTAATTGCTTTGGTAAAGTGGCAGAACGTCACAGAACCAAACAGCACCAGTAGCCCCGAGTGGCAATAAGTTAATATCACTTACTTAAAATCAAGTTCTGCTGCATCAGAACTGAAGACAAAGAGGGTCAGAACAGCAGTTTCCTAATTTTCAAGTCTGCCATAATGGGATGTCCTATCCTGTGGCATTTTTCTGGTGCTGCACACTGAGGTCATTGGTGCAGTTTAATTTTCACCATAGCAGCTGAAATAAAGTGCCCATGGAGATCATGCAGTGCTGCTCTTCTGGAGAAGCACTAATGTAAACTGTGGGCAGTCTTGACGTGACAGCTGTGCTGACAAACCAAAAAAAGATGCTTTTTGCACTAGACAGATGTCTAAGTGTTGGAAATTTTCCAGTGAGAAGCAGAAAAGCTTTATTCTTCCAGTATTTCTATGTCACTTGAAGTATGGTTTAAATGAAAGGAATGTTTTCTGATGGGGAATGTTATTGCAGAGCTTTTTAGCATGCAGAGGATTAGCTTCTTAATCACCTCTGAGTAACTAGATTCTACCAGTTGTACAGGAAAATTCTTGGTGCTGTGAATAGTGAGGCAGAGTGATCAAGGAAACTGCTTATTTTATCTTCATTTGATGTATTTGCATGGCACAGCCAGTGCCAGAATGTCTCCTGCATTTGCATGTGTTCCTTATAATATTTATCAGATACAGACACGGCATTCATCGATTATTTTCCTTGAAAGAGAGACATTGTCAAGTATTTAATCCAAATGAGAAACAATATGAGAAGGTTATATTTAAAAATATGCAGCCTAGAAGACAGCTCTTTAAAGCAGTGGTGTACCTCGTATATGCTGGAGTTTTGTCTTGGAAATTTGCTCATCAACATCAGTAGTTCAGTAAAAGCTGAAACTTGAAAGCAAACTCCTGTCTTGATGTAATACTATAAAGCTGATTTTACAAACTCTTTTTGTTTTTTGAGGGAATGAGAACCTCTCCCTTTTTTTTGTGCACAGAGTTTGACAGCATCTTCTTCATTTGAGTTCTTCATAACCACTTCATTCTGTTAAAATTCACTAGTATGGTGAAGAGGGTGTTTCTGTAGCAGGCAGGAAAAGGTAGGGAACACATAATCCTCTGCTCAGAGAGCACAATCAAGGATGGCTTATGCCTTGTACTACTACTTATTCTCTAAGGCTGCTTGGAGAAGCAGTTGTGATATTAGGAATATTTTATGCAAAAAGCAGATAATCATGGTCACCTACTATGTGAATTCAAAGATGGGCTATAAGGCTTATGGCAGATGGTATTCTTTGTTCAGCTTGCTGCTTTGATGAGTATTTGGGCATCAGTTTTGTTTGTACTTCTTGAGGAGGTTCATGCTTTGTTTGTGATCCCTGTGGTGATGAGCCTGATCCTAACTAAAGCTTCATTAGCAAACTGCTTTAACTGTACTTCAGTGTCCATTGCAAGCACGCATAAATTCCATGCTGTATTTCACTGCTCTCATGAAGGGTTTGTTCTCTCCTTTTTTAGGTACTCTTCTACTCATCAAGATGGAAAGCTCAGATTCTAGTGATAAAGGAAGTATTGATCAATCAGAAGCCCAACGTCAGAGCCAGCTGGATCGGTTAGATCGAGAAGAAGCTTTCTATCAGTTTGTGAACAACCTGAGTGAAGAGGACTACAGGCTTATGAGAGATAACAATTTGCTAGGAACACCAGGTAGGTCATGCTTGCCTATGTCCATCCTGGTAGAGTTGCTTGTAAGCAATTTGTGTCATTTTCTGTTCCCCTGAAGCCCTTTCACCCATCTGTGTGCTGCAGCAGTGTTCCGTGGTAGGAAGTAGCCTCTTGCTAATTTGTGCACATTTAAATTCAAGTGGTCCCTTGACTTGTGGAGACATAGGATGGTGTGGATTCATCAGATACAGAAGTCTGGTGTTTGCACGGGAACACCCAGTTCCAGTTTGACCCAGTAGCCCAACGTCAGAGCCAGCTGGATCGGTTAGATCGAGAAGAAGCTTTCTATCAGTTTGTGAACAACCTGAGTGAAGAGGACTACAGGCTTATGAGAGATAACAATTTGCTAGGAACACCAGGTAGGTCATGCTTGCCTATGTCCATCCTGGTAGAGTTGCTTGTAAGCAATTTGTGTCATTTTCTGTTCCCCTGAAGCCCTTTCACCCATCTGTGTGCTGCAGCAGTGTTCCGTGGTAGGAAGTAGCCTCTTGCTAATTTGTGCACATTTAAATTCAAGTGGTCCCTTGACTTGTGGAGACATAGGATGGTGTAGATTCATCAGATACAGAAATCTGGTGTTTGCACAGGAACACCCAGATTTGATCCAGTTATGACCCCTTAGATGGACAGAAAAATCTCCTTTAAGCCTCTGTGTGCAGATTTTGTGCTGGTGAGGTTAGGAATTTGTAACCAGGGTAAGTAGTATGGTATGAGATTCTGCATGGGCATTTTGATGTCAGCTTTCAATCAACTTGGTGGATTTCCTCTTCATAGGTTGATACCTAATTCAAAACATGACTAGTAATTTAAACCTGCTTGTGGAAATGTTAACCTCAAATATTTCACGCTGGACACCCTAATGGGTGTAGGATGACAAAAATTGCTGCTCAGTTGTCGAGGTTACAGAGCCAGAGAGCACATCTCTCTTGAATAGGATGGAACTGTTGGGTATTTCAGCTTCAGGAAAACTTACTTGGGACAACAGTGCTAAAGTGTCTGAACTTCCCCTTAGCAACGTGCTTGGCAGTGCCATTATGGCAGGATTTAATTAGACAGAACACAAGCAGTGGCTTGTACCTTCTTTAGAAGCTTTTGATAATGCTTGCCATACATATATGATTTGGAAATATTTTTGGAAAATTTTGCTTATTTTCTAAGGTGAAATTACTGAAGAAGAGTTGCTGAGAAGGCTACACCAAGTTAAAGAAGGTCCGCCACAGCAAAACAGTGATGAGAATAGAGGTATATACAGTATTTGTGAAAACTCTTAACTTTAGCACCCCATACGGACCTTAACTTGAGTGCAGGAGTGGAACAAGTTAAGCCTAGGCAGGTGCAAGGTGAGCTTGGTTTCAAAACTCAGTGAACCTTATGTCTGATGTCTGCTGCAGAGGTCAGTTTGGGACAGATTTCATTCATAACACATCTCTTACTTCTATCAAAATAAAGTTTTGCTTAGGTTTATTTCTTTTTTTATTTCATTTTTTTTAAGATTGCCTTTCTGCCTGCTCCCTCCTGGGATGCTTTTTGGTGATCCCTGTTTTTTAATTATTCCCTTCCAAAGATGCTGCATTGCTTTTGTTGTCACCCTTCTGTAGAGATTGGTGGGGGATGCTCGGAGGTGACCACGGGGGTTCATTCTTCACTGAGACAGATTTGCTATAAAGCTCTGCAGGTGAAGGTTCAGGACAAACTTAATTCTCTGTTTCACGGTCAATAGATCACTTAATTGTTTGGAAAGGAAAACACAGAATATTGATGTGTTATGACACCTGACATGTGACTTTCCATTTACTTATGATAGAAAATACATGTTCTTTTGATGACTTGTTTGCTCTGTGATGGCTGCAGCCTATCTGTGCATTTTAGAGCCATATCCACTCCTGCTCCCTTAGAAGAGCTCTGGTAGTTACAGAATTGTCGCACTGCCTGTGAAACCACAGTAGCACTCTGTAGGATTCAGCACTTCTAAATTGTCACTTGTTAAGCTAAGCAATTATGTTCTTGGAAAAGATGGCTCCAAAATTAGCTCAGTACTCTAATTTTGGTAGTTCCCTGTCTTTTTCACAGGTGCAGAGTCCGCAGAAGATGTTTCAAATGGAGATTCTATAATAGACTGGCTTAATTCAGTCCGACAGACTGGAAATACAACACGAAGTGGGCAGCGAGGAAACCAGTCCTGGAGAGCAGTGAGCCGGACTAACCCAAATAGCGGCGACTTCAGATTCAGTTTGGAAATAAATGTCAACCGTAATAATGGGAACACGAATCCAGAAACTGAGAATGAGCCATCTGTAGAGCCTTCCAATGGGGAGGATTTGGAAAACAGCCAAAGTGACTCTGAAATTCCAAGGTCTGAATCACCATCTGTAAGGCAGCCTGGATCAGAAAGGAGCAGTGCGGAGGAGCTGACAGCTGAGGAGGCTTCCCCTCCTAGAGGGCAGAGGAGAGCCAGGAGTAGGAGTCCAGAACAGCGGCGGACGCGGGCTAGGACTGATAGAAGTAGGTCACCTATTAATGCAGTGAGTGAGGCCCCTCGCAGGTCTCATCACAACACATCATCTCAAACACTTGACCACTCCTCAGCGAGCGAGGCTGAGGGCAGCTCTAGAACCAGGCAGCACGTGACGTTAAGGCAGCACACAGTGGGGACTGAGGTGCCAAGTGAAAATGCAGTTCTGTTTTCCCCCCCTGAAACGAGGCCTGCTCCTCAAGCAGCAGGTTCTTCAGAAACCACCGGCACCAGTGAGTCCACGGCTCCTGGGCAGAGGCCTCCCACCATAGTGCTTGACCTGCAGGTGAGAAGAGTTCGCCCGGGCGAGTACCGGCAGAGGGACAGCATAGCCAACAGGACCCGCTCCCGGTCCCAGACCCCCAACAACACGGTCACCTACGAGAGCGAGCGCGGAGGCTTCCGGCGCACCTTCTCCCGCTCGGAGCGGGCTGGGGTGAGAACTTACGTCAGCACCATTAGGATTCCCATCCGCAGGATCTTAAACACGGGCCTGAGCGAGACCACGTCGGTCGCCATCCAGACCATGCTGAGGCAGATCATGACAGGCTTCGGGGAGCTCAGCTACTTCATGTACAGCGATAGCGATGCAGATTCCAGTGGGTCAACTCCCAGTCACAACGTGGAGACTTCTGAGCCGCAGAGCGGGGGCGCCTCGGGCAATGAGAATGCAGATGTTAGCTCAGGGGAGGTGTACGAGGGTGGGCACGAGGCTAGCTCAACATCTGGTGCCAGGCGGGAAGGCCGGAATATGAGGGGATCGGTCACTTTTGAAGAAAGTGGTTCTCTACCATTCCTTAGCCTTGCACAATTTTTCCTACTCAACGAAGATGACGATGACCAACCAAGAGGACTCACCAAAGAACAAATTGACAACCTAGCCATGAGGAATTTTGGTGAGAGCGACGCTCTGAAAACCTGCAGCGTGTGCATCACAGAGTACACGGAGGGCAACAAGCTCCGCAAGCTGCCGTGCTCGCACGAGTACCACGTGCACTGCATCGACCGCTGGCTGTCGGAGAACTCCACCTGCCCCATCTGCCGCAGGGCAGTCCTTGCCTCTGGGAACAGAGAGAGCGTGGTCTAAAGCAGAGCTGAGTCAATGGCCAGGCAGCTGGTGTGATAGTGATGGGCAAAGAAGTCACTTCCTTTATGGCCACTTTTTGAGTGGTACCTCAGTGTATAGTAATGACTCGGAGTGAATCTTCCCTCATGAAAGCATTTTCTCTGGATTCAAGATTTGGGAATTGGAAAATTTCTTTAATTAGGTTTTTCGAGTTCTAGTCGGTTTGGGTGTTCAATTTCACTTGTCCAAAGACATCTCCCCATTTCAAAATATTTTTTTCTTTGTGAAGATATTAAGTTCTTTCTCCTTCCCAGCCCTTGGCATCCCAGTCCAATAAACAATTTGTCCTCAAGATTGTGCTTCTGAGGAGTTATTTGAGAAGTTATCCCAGCTCAGTGTCCATGAGTCAGAGGAATTTTTGCAAGAAATCCAACTCTCTGAAAAAATAATATTAATTTAATTGCACATTTGAGCATACTTTTAATTTTCCTCCTGGGTTAATATTGGACATGTCTGTGTAAATAACACTAATGTTAGCCCTTTCCCCATCACTATGGCACGCTGTAGGATGAGCTGTTAGCGTAATTGGGATATTTATCTTGTTGTGGAAATATAAGAATTGCCTATGCTTGTTTAAATAAAGGAAAAAAAAATCTGTTTTAAAATTGTAAAGCTTTTTTGTAGAAGCTCAGTACTTTTCCAATGCACTGTTGTACTAACGCATTAAGAATTAAAATTGTACCATGCTTAGAAATCAAGAACGCTTTTCATACAAACCCCACTACACAGAGAGCAAACTGAACACGAGAGAGCTGCTTTTGTGACTGTGTACCTGTCAAGAGCAGTGCATATCTGTACTATTCATGTGAACAGCTACTGTAACATAAAAACAGTTGGATTAGACATTTAATTGCATTTAAAAAATCGGAAATTAAATGTTATAGTTGCAGTGTTTTGGCGCAGTAATGCCACCAAAAAAAAAAAAAGATGATAAAAATTAGAAACTGTTCTAATGGCTGGTTATTTCTTGATATGGTTGCAAATATGGAATAATACAAACCTGTGTGTACTGGCTTGTTCACTGAGGTTTGTGCCCAATTTTTCTATCAGCTTTTCCTCTCAATTTTTGAGGCAATGTTGTAACTTCAGCAAACAAGTATGGAGAGGTTGGTTTTTAGTTCTTCACAAGCTTCAGCTGTACTGGTAACCTCTGGACGTGTTGAGTGGTGTGGTGTTGGTAGCCTGTGGTGCAAGTGCCTCAGGGAATAACTGGAAAGCACATCATTAGTATTGGGTTACATTTTAAAATGAGCGCACTTAAATGTGTAGGAGATTCTTGTGACTAACAGTAAAAACCCAACAGACTCTTTATATTCCTCTTGGACAGAATGAAAATGAATTGACTTTGAAAATTATGTACATTACCTGTTGGAGTTCAGAATTGGAGAATGTACCTCAACTCCCATCAGAGTGTATGTGTGGGGAAACATCCTTCACCCTCACTGACCCCCTTCTTTGTTTTATTCTCTAAGGTTTTAGCTTTTTCCTAGCTTACATGTGCAGTGGGAAAGTGGTTTTTATTTATTTCCACTCAAGGGCAGTAGTCTGAAGGGATATGAGCTGCTCTTGCTGGCTGGGTGGGAAATATTGCTTGTTCCTCAGATGACAAAACCAAAGCTGGCCTATCTCTTTTTTCCTAATTAAAACACATTTTTGGTGTTTTATAGTGGTGGGTGCATAAACTATAATTGCTGCTCTAAGCCATTTTAACATCTCATCAGCTGGTTCAGGATTCCACAGCATCCCAAAATTTTGGGTTATTTTACTCCATGTGCATTTTGTGCTGTTGTTTCAGTGGGAAGCCCTGACTGGCTGTTGAGCTCCTTTCCTCCTGGTGGGACACACCATCGTGGCAGAGGGAACACGAGGGTTCTTTGGGAACAGAACAATCAGCTCACGGGTTTGGCTTTTTCCTTGGACACACATCACTGTGAAATTGGAGTTGGCTGTGGATTCTGGGTGCTGGCTTCTCTGTGCCAAAATTTCACAGCAAAATAACACTTCTGAATTTCACAGAGCAAATACTCACTCTCAGTTGCGGTTTCCAGAATTATAGAGTGTAGAATTAGAAGGAAAAAAAACCCTCTCTACATGAGTACCATGTTAGATGTTGGAAATCAGAGATGTTAATCTCAGACTAGAGCTGGTGACCACCAGGAGGGGAGCCCATTTTCCCAAACCCACACAAAGCATGGCTGTGGTACCTGTCGCCCCACCTTTTCCATGGAATTTCCACCTTGGTAGAAGTGCCCCAAAACAACAGTTTTTGTTATAGCTTATGGCATGTCTTTACATTTTATCTTTCTGTAACAAAAGCAACTAATAAAATCTTGGAGGTTTCCCAAACGGTACCAAGAACAAATAATTTAATCTCAGTTTAAGAGACGTTGATCGTTCTCCATGGTTCCTCTGCCTTTGGCAGCGCTGTGTGTGCTAAAGGGGCTGGGGGCTCATTGTCTGCAGCAAAAACTTCTTTATGTAGCTCTGTTAATTAGGGTAATTAAATTTCTATTTATCTAAATTTAGATTGGAGTTAGGAAAAGCCAATATTAACATTTCAGTTACTTACAAAATGTGAAACACTTTCATAATTAAGACTAATTTACATTTCATGAATTATTTTGATAGTGAACATGTGTATTTAGCTCTTCGCTTAGTTTTTGGGGTTTTTTTTTGTATTTCTGGAGAGACAGCATTTTCACTCGTGCCTGGAGGGGTATGAAGGGTTAAAAGGGCGATTTTTGGCACGTTCCTAGGGCTGATTTGTAGGAATGGTGGCTTTGGAGAGGCAGAGCCATGTGCGCTGTGGCCTGGGTCACAGTGCCACCGTGTGGGATCTGCCTTCAGCACCAGCGGGATTCCTTGCAGGATCAGCAGCTTTTATTTTGATTCCTAAGGATTCTCCTTGTCATAGCGACTCAGTGCTTACCATGGGGTTTTTTCCCAAATGTCCAAACTCCTGCTGGGAATACCTGGTGCGTGAGCTTCATTCCTGTCTGCCAGGACAGATCCCTGCCCACAGCAGTGCAGTGGTCACCGGGCCAAAGCCTTGTGACAAACACGGTTTTAATAATTACATTAGTTACGAGTTGCTGTTGGTTCGTATTTTAATTCACATTGTGAACAAACACAAATTTGGGAGTGCTCACTTTAATTTTTTTTTTTTTTTGGGTGGGGGGGCTTTATCTGTGAAAAGTCTGAATTCCTGGTGCTGATTGGACTTCCCTTTCACGTGCATATTTTTTATGTCTTCAGACAAGTTGGGTTTTTTGCAGAGAACTTGGAGGCAGTTGAGTTGTTTTAAAACCGGTTTGATTGTGTAGGTACTTGGTGCATAGAAATCAGGGAGTTTTAAGGGCCTTTTGTAGGAAGCGCTGCCGTGCAGGCACAGCAGCTGCAGGACACGACACCCACCCTGATTGTCCATTGTGTCGCCTTGCAGACGGAGGGCTTTCCCACCAGAGCTGGCACAATGGCTCATAATGAGTGTCATCCCCGTTTCCTGTCACTTGGCTGAGTTATGCAAATGTGGGACTCCAAAGGCCCCTTTCCCGGGTGGACCCAGGCTGGATAAACCACAACCCAGTGGTCTCACCACAACAACGAGGGGATGGATGATGCAGGGTGAGGAGAGGTGCAGGTGAGGCAGAGGGGGTTCTGAGCCTCCACACCGCAGTAGGAGCCTCCCATCATTGTCTCACCCTTCTTTGGGATCCGTGTGTCCCTGGAGGCGGTGTCCTGCTTTGGGAAGGGGTCTGGGGAGCCCAGGAGCAGCCCAGCTGTCGGAAATGTCTGCCTGCTCCTCTGCCTTCTCCCAGGAGGAGGAGCTTTGGATGAAGGTTGGCTTGGAGCCACATGGAGGAATTTATAACAACTTCAGAAATATTTGCAGCCCTTATGTACAGTAGGCTTTTTGTTTGTCCCCAGCTCGGGGGGGAAGCAGGAGGCTGAAGAGACACAATTAATGGTAACGTACCCAAAGTACTAATAAGTGGTGGTGTGTTAAAAAAAGAGATTTGCATCTGTTATACCAGGGCTTCCCAACCTCTCAGATCAACTGTATCTCTTTTGTCTTATGGGGAAACATAACATGGAATTTATTTGATTTATATCTGATTTTATTCCCTTTAGCTACAATATTTGAGCCCCTTTCTGAATTTCACTCTGCTGGGAAGGCTGTTGGTTGGGAAGCCCTGAATTCCACTGTGAATGTAACACTTTTCTTATTTTTTCCTTTCTTTTTTTTTTTTTTTTTTTTTTTAAAGTGCTTTACATTTGTTTATACTGGACTTGTTTAATACAAACTGGTACTCAGAGGTTGTTGGACACAGTTTGACCAGGTTTGCCAGCTAACACTTAGGAGGAGTTTGTTCCCTATGTAAGGTGTTATAATGCAAATCTAAATAGACTCAATAAAATGCATGAAGTGTTCATTTTGTGCTGGATCATCACTCCTTGGGTTTATTCTTACGGTGGGAAAGCATTGGAGTACACAGTGATGGATGTGGCAGGAATTTATTTCCTCCATACACCTTTCCCCTTGAGGCAGAAAGGAAGGAGCTGGAATGGTACAGAATTAACTCCTCAGAAGAATTTATTGCATTAGGACATAAAACCAAAGAAATAAATACCTCTGTGTCCCAGACTTTGTCAATCTGGCAGTGGATAGATAATGTAGGATACAAAAGCAGCATCTCCAAGTTGTCTTCCAAGGAAAAGCTGGGCCCCGTGCAGGGCTGGCAGGGCTGAGTCTCCCTGCAATGCAGCCAGGATTCAGGGAGAGTCTCACATGTGGCTTAAAGCTCTGTCCTAAAACTAGCAGCTGAGGTACATGAATGGGAAAGAAGCTTTTTAGGGTGTGGGAAGCTGTATTTATTATCTGTGCTTCCCTCACCTCAATCCCATTCCTGGGTAGGAAGCGGGAGCCACTTGCTGAGAGCAGCGCAGTGGCATCGGTGCAAGAGGGGACAGGAAGGTGTTGTGTCCCTGAAAAAGGACATTTTGGGTGCCAGGGCAGGGGCTCAGTGCCACAGCTGGGCTGATGCTCCTCAGCACTGCCAGTGATGCTCTTCTCCAGCAAGGAGAAGTTGTGGGCTGCTCCAGGGACACATGGAGTTGGGATTCTGCTCCAGCTTCACTCTCCAGAGGGAGAGCTGTTGGATAAAAGGGTTTTTTCTCATTTCCACGTGCTTCCTGCTCTTTGAGTTCAGTTCAGTCTGAAACCGGGTGTTTAACAGAGGTGTAGCTTTGATTTCAGTGACTTTTCATGAAGTGACTCCCACACTTTGTGTGTCAGGAGCTCTTTGCCTGGTAGCTGTCTCCAACCCCTCATCTCCCTGTAGGGTCTCTTTCAGTTTGGGTAACCCTGGATTTAATCCTCAAAAACTCTCAATCAACCCCCAAATTGTTTAAAGAGCCCAAGCCAGCCTTGGCGCTCATGGGTGGCTGACTTCATCCCTCTGTTTATTTTCTTTAATATATTTGAGGTCTTTGTCCTGACCTGTAAAACTTTATATAACCTTGTTCCTCCCTCTTGGTGGTTAAACTCTGTAACCTTTTACATTGTCTTACTCCTCCCTTCAGGATATATTTCCATGGCACATCC